CCAGATTAAACCTAGTGGGAGTTTCCCCCCACAGAGGGACAAAAGGACCCCCTGATGATCCTCTAATCGCCTGAGCCAAGGTGTGAAACTGGGTGTGGGTCCCAATCAGCCAGGGTTTCGGGTGAGCTCATTGTGAAACCTGGCCCCACCTTATCATGCGAATTCCTGAGGTCAGATGGCCCAGGATGTGAGTGGGCGTTAAGGCGTCTGGGGAGGATCTCAAAACTGGATTATAGATGGCAGAGAGTTGGTGTCGTAAACCCCGCCTCTGTTCAAAGATGGTCGCTCACAGTGGACATAGATGCTTCTTTCACTCCTCTTTCAAACCATCTGTCCTCTCTGTCCAAAATGTGAACATTGGCATCCTCGAAAGAGTCCTTTATCCTTAATGCAGAACCCACTCACATCCTGGGCCATCTGACTCAGGAATTCGCATGATAAGGTGGGGCCAGGTTTCACAATGAACTCACCCGAAACTCTGGCTGATTGGGACCCACACCCAGTTTCACACCTTGGCTCAGGCGATTAGAGGATCATCAGGGGGTCCTTTTGTCCCTCTGTGGGGGGTACTCCCACTAGGTTATATCTGGGACTCTCCACCATTTGACCTTAGAACTGAAGAAGCTTCTCGGATGAGAGGTGAAACGTCTTCAAGTAACTTAAAGAAGTCCAGACGCTTTTCTTTGCAAGCTCCTTTGCTACGATGACCGGATGACTGAGAACCTTCACAGAATATTTTCTAAGTCAGTTATTACACTTGATAAAAGAATATTATGAAAAAACACTTCATCTACAATAAATTCTTTCAAAAAACAATGGTTAAGGATTTGAAATTAATGACTTATTAGTTTTATCTGACAGGTATTCATTTGCAGTTGTTTTCATTTAATAACCATTTTTCTGTTCTCCCTCTGAACGATGAAAAACTGAACAATTTCAAGCAGAAACTTTTGAGCTTACAAATGTATTTTGTTTTATTCAGACTGGAGGACTGCAGCTTGTGTGAACACAGCTGCAGATTTCTGGTGTCAGCTCTGAAGTCCAACCCCTCCTTTCTTAGAGAGCTGGACCTGAGCTCCAACTACAAACTGCAGGATTTAGGAGTGGAGCGTTTGTGTGGTTTTCTGGAGAGTCCACAGTGCAGACTGGAAACTCTGAGGTCAGTCACCATGTTTTCAAGTTTTGTTTTCCACTGACCTGCAGACATTAGACTGATATACTGACCCACACTGTGGTTCTTCATAATGGAGTCTTAATTGTTAAAGCTGGAGATAAAAAGGTTGGCTCTAAAAGGATAAAACCATGTCAATCTGTGGCCACAGGCATGTTTAATAAAAGTAAACAATAAACAAAACTATATGATTTCAAGAATAAGTTTGTACAATAACCTTAAATCTTTTGCTTTTTACTTAGACTGGAGTATTGTGGTCTGTCAGAGATCAGCTGTGAGTATCTGGCTTCAGCGCTAAAGTCCAGCCCGTCCTATCTGAGCGAGCTGCGCCTGAGAGGAAACAACCTGCAGGAATCGGATCTGAAGCAGCTGTCTGAGCTTGTGGAGAATCCACAGTGGAGACTGGAGACTCTGGGGTCAGTAGAGGGTCGCAGTTTTTTTTTTAGTTAAATAACACTAAGCTGAAAGTAGATGTAAAAAATGTTTGACTAAAATAAAAATAAAAAGTTGACTTTAGAAAAAACTCATTGAAATGATATTGTTTAATACTTTACCTGAAATTAAGAAAAACAAGAACAGAAAATGAGTTTAGTTTTAGTCTTTTGTCAGTCTGGTCAGATCTGACAAATCAAGCTTCAAGTCCATATTTTTAAGTTCAGCTGAACCAATTTCAAAAATGTGATTTAATAAATATTCAGTATTTGTTGTTGTTGCTGTGTTTAGATAAAGATCCTATAAAATTGTAGAGCAACCCAACAAACCAAAGATCTCCTTTGTGCAGAACTTTCTGACTGGAGAGAAAAAAAATTAATTTTTAAATGTCATTTTTTTTAAAAATTAATAAAGCTGATCTGAAGCTTCAAGCAAAGATGGATTATTCTACTCAAACTCTTCTGTTTGTATCTGCAGGGTTGACAGGATGATTGAACCTTCCAATGAAAACGACTGTGAGTACTGACATGTCTCCTATTCACCAATATTTTATTAACAGCATCAAATATGTATATGACTGTGTGCTTATTTTAACAAAGAAATCCTATAAATTATGTTGTATGGAGGTGTGGAAAATATTTGAAAAATGTATTTCAAACATGCTAAAATGCTACAAGGTTTAAATAAAAAGGCCATAAAACATTTTAACATCTTAAACATCTTAAAATTCAAAATTGCAATTTGATGATGAACAGGTATATTTCATGTTTTAGAAATCATAATAGTTAGAAGGTTACTACTCGGGACTCCTGAACTCCTCCTAGATATCTTTTCTTAGCCGGCTGCACTCAAACGCTGGACGTGGAGAAGCTCATAGCTGATATCAGACACTAACCCAGCAGCTTCACTGCATCAGAACCTTTTGACACTTCCACTCTCATATTTCGAGTTCAGCGCATAAACTTTGAAACAGCCTTCCTGCATCATCCCGTGAGGTCGACTGAGTATGCAGGCTGTTTCTTGCACACCCCATCATTGGATCACAGCAAATGTTTCTATGCAAATATTTATTGAGAATGCACGAGTGCAACTTTGTATGTTGGGATATGCACACCTCTTTAATGTGTTTTCAACCAACCGGTGAAGCCCCTTTGTGACTGTGCGCTTTGAAGAGTGCTCTCCTTATAGAGTTATTGTTATCTTTTGAAAATAGATGAGTGATACGCACATTCAGCTACAGAGGGCAGTACAACTGCTTGCTCTAATTAAATGGTTCAAGGTTCAAGGCTCTTTATTTGTCACATGCATAGTTATACAAGTATAACACACAGTAAAATGTAACTGAATGTAAAATGGGGGGGGGGGGGTAGATAGAGGAAGAACATCATAATATATATATATATATCTATATCTCATAGAGGATTATATATATTACTAATTAATATAATATATATATAATATTATATACTAATATTATGTATCTATATCTATATATTATTATATATATATACTATAACTATATATACTTAACTATATATATATATATATATATATATATATATATATATATATTTGGGGATAGAAGCTCCTCTTGAGTCTCTCTGTCCTTGCCCGGAAGATGCGGAACCTTCTACCAGATTGCAGAAGTTGGAACAGTTTGTTGCCAGGATGGGACGGGTCCTTCAGTATCTGCGCTGCTCTAGTCCGGCATCTCCTGGTGTAGGTGTCCTGAAGTGGGGGGAGAGCAATCCTGCAGCAGCGTTCTGCTGTACGGATCACTCTCTGGAGAGCTTTTTGGTCCTTCACACAGCTGTTCCCAAACCACGATGTCATGTTCTGTGTGAGGATGCTCTCCACAGCGCCTGTATAGAAAATCCTGAGGATCTTTGGAGAGACCCTGAACTTCCTCAGTTGTCGTAGGTGATACAGGCGCTGCCTAGCCTTTTTGGTCTGGACCTGAATGTGGGCAGCCCATGTCAGGTCTGAGGAGATGTGGACACCAAGATACTTGAAGGACTGCACCCTCTCCACTGGAGCTCCATTGATGATAATGGGCTTGTAGTCTCTGTGCTGACCCCTTCTGAAGTCCACCACCAGCTCCTTGGTCTTGCCGACGTTCAGCTGGAGGTGGTTGTCCTGGCACCACGATGCCAGATTCTTCACTTCATCCATGTAGGCCGCCTCATCGTTGTTGGAGATGGCACCCAACACCACTGTGTCGTCAGCAAACTTCACAATGGTGTTGGAGCCGTGGGTGGCCACACAGTCTGAAGTGTGGGTTGCCAACTCCCAGTAAAACAAAAGAAGATGAAGAAGAAATTACATAATAGTCATGCTGTGAGACGATGCAGCGTGTAATATTAATAGATAAATATCTGAAAAGAAAAAGTAGGCAGTCTGACCACATGAAAGCCCTAGCACGATTAGTGGTCAGAAGCAAAGAAGGTGTACTGGGGACAAACCAAGCAAATTCCACTATAACTGGTGTGCAGGGAAAAACTATCAATATGCTTTTTGTGACATTTTTGTTTGTGATTTCTTTCTAATGTGAAATATGTGCTGTGGCTCCCAAAGGTTGGGAAACATTGCTCTATAAAAGTTTATCTGTGGTGCAGCTGAAAATGGTAGCATGTTTTCAGATCTGGATTAAATTATTCAGACACAAATCAGCTTTGATTTCTAGCAAAATATTTCTGAGTGTACACTTTGGACGTCTGCAGTCAGCTCTGACGAAAAGTGTTCCAGGGAATCCTGAACTGTTCTGCTGTCTGTCTCTCATCAGGTGACTCTGAACAAACATTGGATATAAACCCTTTAGCTGATTTATCTGAGGATGACATAGAGCCAATTGAGGTGAGACAAGAGCAAGCGGATCCTTATCATTTACACATGTAATGACTGTTAATCTCGGCACTTTTTCATGGTAGTAGTCTAAACTTTGTCTGATGGAACAAAGAAGGAGGCTTCAGGACAGAAACTAACTCCACGTGTTGAATTTACCTGCACTGCAACACTGATTAATTGTACGTTATCAGGATGCTTTAAGCTTTATCCTGCATGGCTCCATGTTTTCATTGTTTTTAGTCCCACTATTTTACTGCCAGTTTTGAAAGTACGTACATATAACTGCTGATGTGTACGTTGTGTAGTTTGTAGTTTCTTCACTTACTGGTTTGTTGCTGCTTTAAACAGCTGGTGTTGTTCTGATTTCCAGCCTCCATCAAGCTTCACACCTGAAGTACAACCTGAATCCACACAAATCTCCCACAGGTGATAATAAAACCACAGCTGTCACTGCTTTCACCTCCACATTAGAATGATGTCACACATGCTCTGATGTGACCTGATTTGTATTAGACACCTGGAGGTGTGACATAGTAAATTACCTCCTCCTCTCCATCGATGTCTAATATATGAGACGTTGTGTACTTTGCTTTTCTCTCCCTCTGTGTTTTCCTTTGTCCATCTCACTCAGACATCATTTCCACTGAAAGATCATCTGGAGCGTCAGTTTCTGATGGGAGCAGCACAGTTGCATCTCAGTTATTCAGCTCTAGTTTGCACTATCAGTGATGAAGGAACTGATCAGACAGGTGACGTCCCTCACCTCAGTGACAGACAGAGATGATGTCAGACTTCAGGCAGGACCTTCACTTGGCCCTCCAGCTCCAGTAACAGCTGCCTCCACAGATGCCTGGCTGTGTTAGAGATGACAGGGTTCATCTGGGTTCTGTGTGATTTGAGGTGTTCTGATAATATAAAACTCAAATACAGCGATGGCAGGTTACTATCAGTCCAGAAAGAGGCTGAAGCCTCCGGGATGACTAACCACAACCGTGTTCTAATTATGTGACATGTGACTCAAACCCTGAGATATCCCAAACCACAAGTAGAATTAATAACCTGCTTTGGCTTTAGAGCCAAAGCAGCAGAGTTACAGATGTAGCTTCCCCTCACTTTGGTGGATGTGACAGTTTGGACTCAAACAGAAGCTTCAGATGTTCTCGTTGGTTTCTTTCTTTTAGATTCTAGTTTAACCGTTTCATCTTCTACAGGTTCAGGTGTCCTGGTCCAGGTGTGTTCCAGTGTACTCTGACCAGACTGGTGTTTGTTATGGCTCAGAAGGCGGAGCTGCTGTACTGGAATGTCCAATGGGATGAGAGCCTCCTTCAACAAGCTGGAAAAACAGCTGCAGGGCCGCTGTTTAACATCACGTGCTCTGAGGACGCAGTCCGTCAGCTCCACCTGCCACACTGTGAAACAAAGGAGGGTGAGCACCGTGCTGCGATGATGAGATGAATTGTGTTCAGTATCAAAACAAGCACTTTATTATGATTGTTGTTGCACACATCAATAAATGGGTAGCATCTAACTTGTAGATAACAGTGATTAGTTTGAACTACCTGAAGTGTTGAAAAGTAAATGGTGCAGGATGAATCCCCGAGCAGGAAATAGTGCAGCAGCTCTTTGCCTTCACAGCGTTGTGTGTTGATGGCCTGCTGTCTGTCGCGCACGTCTTTGATGATGGGATAAGCATCTTGAAACCGATGAGGATCACCGACACGCATGTGATTGTGAACGTCTCCCACCTCTCTGCCTTTGGCCTTATCTGGAATTTTGTTAAAAAGTCCTTTAAAATCCCAGAAGCAGGCCAGGTTCTGCTGTTCCTGCGATTTAAAGACACAGTGCCTCTAAAAATCAACGTGTTTCTCCTGCATGAAAGAATCCATCTGTCAGAGGTAAGCATAGAGCACTCAGGCGGTCTCACTCTGCAGATTTCTGATGCTTCTAGTAGGGGGCAGACACCCTGGGCTTTATTCATTGGTTAGTAGAAGCACAGAGTCAAGCTTCTCCGACTGCAGACTCTCACTCTCACTGACCAATCACAGCGCTTTATTCTTGACTTCAGTAACAATCCAGAGTTGATTGCATAGTTATCTCTCCCACTACTGACAAAGTAAACCTGGGTTTACCGACTGCACTGCATCATTTGTTCCACACTTTAGTCAACACTTGATAATTATAAATGATTTCTATAGATAAACAGATCAACATATGAACATTAACATCATGTTATATCCTATCACTGAGGTTAAAAAGCAACAAGGCAATGATGCTACATACATTGAGACGTCTTCAGACTGCGTGCTTCACATCGGTCAGCGTTACAGTGTCCACTGTGAACCCGAGGGCCTGAAGATCCAGCCGAACGTGAGCCAACAGTCGTGAATAAAATGCCCCTGAAAATAAAGTCAGATATAAAATAAGCAGTTTTCTATCAGTCCCTATTAAAACCGCAGATTCTTGTTGGCTTTCAGCACGCAGAGTTTCGGAACAAGCTTGGACCGAATTACTATCCAACATTTGAGGTTTTCCTGACTGCAAACCTGGAGGTTGTGACTCTGATAGTCAAGGACCAAGATGGAAATGAAGCCTGGCGTCGTGATGGTAAAAGTTCCACTGCAGCAGCAGAAATGACTGTATAAATTTCTGCTACAAGGATATTTTACAAACGTTCAACTGAAATCATATTTAAGTCTCTTTTTAGTGTTTGTCCCAGAAAAGGACCGAGTCTCACCAGAGGACAGCGCACACCACAAAACAAAAAAAGATGAGGATAAGCTGCTGCTAATCCGCTCAGAGTTTATTGAAAGAGTGTCTGCAGAGGGTTTAGACAAAATTGTAGATAAACTCCTCGAGCGTCAAATTATAATTGCTGGAGAGATGGAGTCTGGGACATGTGAGACAAAAAGCAGAGCAAATAAAGTGCGATGCATAATCGACACCGTGAGCCGAAAAGGAAATGACGCCTGCAGACATCTGCTCGATGTTCTCAAAGAGGTGGACCCAACCCTTTTCAGAGTGCTCGTGCCAATGGACTGATTCTCATATAGTCAAGTACTCAGATTAACAACAACAATTTCAAGGTGCTTTATTTTGGAAGGGAAGGACTTGGTCTTCAAACTTTGGTGGTTTGAAGGATTCTGGATCAACTCTGCAAGTTTATTTTTTTCAGTCTTGATCATCTGAATCAATCAAATTAATGTTACTGTGAAATTATTCTAATTATTTTGTACAAATTTTGGCTGTTATGTGTTTACTTTGCATTAGTATTAGTAACCATCTGTCTTAAGTGTTCCTTATGTGATTAAAATCACCACAGTTTGGTAATCACACAGATTCATGTTTCCTTCCTCTCTGCTAATAAATGAAGCCATTAAATTTCCTCTAAAAGTCTTCAGTCAGTTTCCTCTGACTTCCTGTATCACACATACAAAAGTTGACAGGGAAGAGCATGTGTGACACAAAAGACCAGAGGTCTGTAGCATGAAGATGGCTTTTGTTTTATCCCAGTAGCTTCAGGGCAGGTGGGTGGCATTTCTGTTAATATTGTAAATAATTACTGTTGAGCGTGTGAGAGATGTGAATGAGGTTGATGATGGCAGATAAAAATAAGCTGCAGTGAGAGACGACTCTTTCATCTCTGTGTCACGTAAAGAAAAGAAAGATATGGATGTAAAAGCTAATAAAGGTGAAGTTTGGTGTGAAAACAAACCAGGAGTCAGACTGTGGAAGGATTTCAGACAGAAGTTGTTAAATACAGAGAGAAGAGTTGGAAATATGACAGAACATGTGAGACATTTAGAACAATAAACTATGTATAGCAATGTAAATGTGGGAGGGGGGCACTGAAGGTGCTGATTGTCCAGAGTACTGCTGCAGCTTCATTAGCCTCTGCTAACACTACATACCTCAGCCTGCCACCCAACTGTGGCGATGCAAATGACAGGAAACAGGAATAAATGCCCCGAGCTGCATTCCGATTGGCCTGTCAGCACCTTTCAGCTGCTTCTGATATCCCATAGGCTAACCAAGCCCGATAGGACTCCTTCTGGTGGCTCCCTTCACCTCTGGTGTCCACCATTTGGTTCGGGGGTTTCTATCATGACAGGTACCAACCACCCTGGTGCCATGTGCACTTATGGACACCCTTATGTTCGGACATGGTGTCCGTTATGGACAAACTGTGGTCCACAGAAGTCCAATAACAAAACTCTGCTCAGGTTCAGATCTGGCAGGCCATTCCTCGTAATCACGCCTCTCCAGGTCTCACTATCATTGCCCAGATGAGCGGTGAAGTCTCCCCGTATGAATCCCCAGATTAAGCACCCTCAAGCACCCTGCCTAGGTACTCCAAGAAGGCTGGGTACTCTGAACTGTCATTTAGCGCATAAGCACAGGTGACAGTCAGCACCCATTCCCTAACCCAGGGGTCGGCAACCTGCGGCTCCGGAGCCGCATGCGGCTCTTTAGTCCTTATAGTGCGGCTCCGTGGTTTGGGAAAATAAATTAGAAGTATTTAGCTGAAGTGTATTTTATTTATGTTAGTTCTTTTTTAACTTGTAGTTCTAAATTGGAAGATTATTGTGATATTGAAATATAAAAATAAAATTATATTCTATTATTTTTTCATCGCTCAAAATAAGCGTCACACTCGCGGAAGCCGGTATACCCGCCGAAACGCCGTGCATTTATCGAGACTTTCAACCCCAGGTAGGCCAATTATGGATCTTCGGATCCACATTATGTCAGCAGCTCCACCGTGAACTATGTTAAAAACAAACACGCTCACGCCTCACAGATGACAGCTTACAGTCCTGCGTAAAGATGAAAGTGACTTTGCTGTGCGCAGAGGTTCGGGACCATGAATCTTATTGTAAACATATCACGGCAGACCCGACGATGTTTCCATGAGCACGCTTTTCAGCATCTCTTTATCGACCGCTTTTCACACACGGTTGCTGTACGCATACAGCCGGCTGTAGCTTTGCAGCTCACAGCCCGACACACACCAACACAACAGCAGAGCGCACAGACGTTAAGGCGGCGAGGCATGATTGCGGGTGCCGCTCAGGTGCGTCCGCCTCCCCTGCAGCAGCGCTGCAGACCACGCCCCGCCACACACAATAACCAGGTAAAATCATATTTAGGCAGAATTTTGCAAATATCTATTTTTCATCTTTTAGCAGCATAGTGCTTTTTTCCAATTATTTTTTAAAAGTCAGGTCAAGGCTCCAAAAGCCCAAAGGCAATATAAGGGTGGCGGCTCACAACAGTTTTTGTTTGCTGGATCATTTTAGTTCAGCTGGGTGTCTTTCCTTTTGTTATATTTCTTTAAGAGTTCAAAATGTGTTAATTACATAAATAAAATGTAATTTTCTCTGTAGCACTTCATGGATTTCATAAGCAACACACCTTAGTTGTTCACACAAAGCATAAAGGTAAAAAACAATATATACAGTGTTATCTTCATTTTAGATGTCAAAAAGTATTTGCGGCTCCCAGTGTTTTCTTTTGCGTGGAAACCGGGTCCAAATGGCTCTTTGGGTGTTAAAGGTTGCCGACCCCTGACCTAACCCAAAGTTGCAGAGATCAAACCCTCTCGTCCACCAGGAGAAACCGCAACATGCAGGCAGCAAGCTGAGGGGATACTAGGACACGCATCCCAGCCCGCTGCCTCTCACCAAGGGCACAACTTCAGACTGAGACAGAGTCCAGCCCCTCACCAGGAGTTTGGCTCCAGAGCCCAAGCCATGCATTGAGGTGAGCCCCACTATATCTAGTCAATATATCTCAACCTCATGCACTAACTCATGCTCCTTCCCCATCAGAGAGGTGACATTCCATGACCCAAGTCACTAGTTTTGGTAGCCACAGTTCCACAGTCTCACAGTGAGACACACTATTGATCATGTGGGTCTTTCATATGATGTTTGTGATAATAACATTATTTTCTTCTTTTCATCTTCTTTTTTCTTTTTAAAAAAACAACAACCACAAATTAAGAATCAGGCAGGATAATCTCCCACGTTAATTCTTCTCTCTCAACTAGAAATCATTTGCAGCAAATATCTGAAACACAGAAATACACTCCATATTTCCAGCTTATCATACTCTCTCCAGAATCCATCTTAAGAAAGTTACACTACAGTTTAAAGCAGAAACAGGATCTACTTAATTTACACTGTTGTATATATAATATGGCATCTCTGGGATAAAGAGATTAAAAATAAGTCCGTGGCAGTTCTCTTACTTTGTGTCCAAGGCTCTGGGTTCATTACTGAAGGCCAGTGGATCTGCTTTGGACTGCTTACTGTTACATTGTGAAGAGTCGGCGCCGTCCTTCTCATTTTCCACACAATTATTCATTTTCTACACTTTAGTATGAGAGGTGACTGTGAGCTCAGGGCCTTTGTTTGACCCCAAACTCTGAGCTGAGGGGAAACATCGAGTTTTCAGTTCCAGAAAAGCTGATCAGAGGTAGTTCAGGCCAGTGGTCACCCTGAAATAATGAAAAAAGCAGTGATCAGTGCAATACCATGAAAAAAAGCATCTGTCAGTTTAACTTTTGTGTGTGTCCACTACATAAATGAAACATAAATGAATGGGCAGGGTCTCAGGAGGACGCGAATGTGAGGGTTTTTCTTAAATCACAGGAAGGGAGAAAAGAACCATTTAGATGTTAGAGAGACTGATTTTTTTAATATGAGACACATTCAAACACTAAACTCTGAGACATTTGTCCTACATTTCAAAATGTTGCTCCAAATAATTGAATGACTATATTTCAATATGTGAACAAATAATGACAGAACACAGTGTCATTCAAAGCTATTGCACTCATGTTCATTCAAATATTCACGACATCTCCAGCGTAGGAACACCCATGGTCAATGGTAACTTTATTGTCCCCAGTGGGAAATTGATTTGCGGTATGTCCGCTATCGTGTAATGCTCAGAGGACGGTCTGAACATAATACAACAGAGGTTGTCTTCCACAGCACCTGCCTGTTATAAAAGTCCACAAGCTGGACCTTAGACCTCCCTGAAATCTGACCAGCCACTTTAACCAGGTTACTAAGTCTAGTCTTATTGGTCAAAGACAAATTACCATACCAAGTAGTAGAGGAGGGAGACAACAACCTTGTGGTGAACCAGTAGAGAAATTTAAAAAGTCTAAAATCAAACTAACGCGATTAAAATCAAGTTTAAATTGATTAAGAAATTTATCGGCTAAGAGGTGTGGCTGGATAGTATTAAAAGCTGAAGAACAATCGATAAATAAGAGCCGAGCATGAGCTTTGGCCCCATCCAGATGGTGGTATAAGAAATTTAATACTTTTATTAGTCATAATTGTTTCAAAAAGATTTTCCACCCTTTCTTTCATCAAGGACAAAGCTTTATGTAAACGGTGACATTGATCTGTGGGAATTCCCTCGGCAGATAAAACGGCCTCAAAGACACAGAGAGGAGCTCAATGTCAGGCAGACACACTTGTCTACGAACGGTCACGTTTTTACACCATTTCTGATTTATATACAAACACACCCCTCCTCCTTGCGATTTCTGGGTAGCTCCGGGGTCTCGATCCAAACGTATGGGAACCCCGAAGCCATTTAATTCCAGAGAACAATCAGGGTCAGAATCCTTGAGCCAAGTCTCTGTGAATGCCATTAGACATGCATCCCTGTAGTCACGTAAATGTGCGACATTCAAATGCAGTTCATCTAATTTACTCCTCAGAGACTGCACATTAGCCAGGATTATTGATGGTAAAGGAATACGGTTGTACCGTATTTGCTTCCGCAATCGCTGACGTAGGCCTCCCTTCTTACCCCGCTTCCTTGCTTTGACTCTGTTAAAAACAAAAGTGCCCCTGTGATTACTGGATAATCCAGAGCTGGAAAACACTGGAGGGTGAAAAGAGTCCAAAGACGGGCCTGTTCCACCGAAGATCCAGAAGAAACTCCCGTGAGTATGTAATGTTTGTGAGTGACAAAGACTTCAAACAACTGTCAGGATTGCCAATAAAAAAAAAACATTCCACAGAGCACAAGCCGATGCTTAAGGATTTCCTCGGGCTCAAAATCAGACAACAACGTAACTAAAAAAAAACCTGACAACTGGCAGACACAGACAACCTGCTGGAGCAGTGTCCCCTTTCAATCTATGACCAATCACGAAATGACAAATAATTCAAAGCTTCATAAAAATTAGTTTGATTATTTTTTATTTATCAAATAACAGTGATTTCTATAATAACGTACGGCAAACTCTTCTAAACCAAATGGATCAACTGAGCTCCTCCACACACATTATCTGAGGAACAGGTCATAGAGACCCATGAAGAGCAATTACAATATAAAACTATAACTATAACACCAGTGCTGCAAATAAGCTGAGAGCAACGAGACAGGAAGTAAAAGTAATGCTGCCAAAGATCATTCATCTTGTGAATGCACGATCATCACAGCAGTACTTTGCACAGTGAAGGATCAAAAAATGATTTGATCCTCTGCTGAATTTGTACGTTTGCTCACTAAGAAACGAACAGGTCAGACGTTTATGGGAGTTTTATTTTAATGGGCGAGAGACGAAAATGCACAAAAGATTTAAACTGATTTGCATTTCTCTGATTGAAATAAATATTTTGTCCACCAACAAAACATGACCTACTACTTCCCAGAATTTTGGCTTCTGCAGATTGACAGATTACAACTGGCCAATAAATCAATTACAGATACTCCTGATCTCCACTCTCACTGTACATAAAGCAGACCTGTCCACAGATTCAATTTCTTTCCTCTCCAACACCAAGGACAAGACCAAAAAGCCATCAAAGGAGGTCAGGGACAAGGCTGTAGACCTGCACAAGGCTGGGATGGGCTACAAAATCATCAGTAAGACCCTCGGTGAGAAGGGGACAACTGTTGGTGCCATTATTCTGAAATGGAAAAAAATATAGTGACCATCAATGGACCTCGGTCCGGAGCTCCGTGCAAGTCGTTGTGTGGTGGAGGAACCACACTACGTTGTAACAGATGGGAGGGAGTTTTTCTGGATGTTTGGTCGATATCATGTCTCTCTCCGTTGAAATGAAACTTCCACACAAATTAGAAACTGTTCATTTCTTTGTAAGTACAAAATCAGCTGCAGATCTAATAATTATTTCTCCCACTATACTGTACTGCTTGTGCTGCTGTTAAACTAACAGCTGAACATTAGAAATAAGTGAAACTTGAAACACATGTTGGTGTGTTCAGGTCTGACACAACATCCAGCATGTCAGTGGCAGAAAAAGGTAACAGACAACAACAAAGAAAATATACATTTCCTTACTTTTCTGTGCCAAGCTTAGATACCTGGAGCTGTCACCACGCCACATTCATGCAGGGTGACTTCTGCTTTGCTTTAGGTGCCGTACTGTCCCGAGCATTTTTCAGGCATAATATCAGAATCAGAATACCTTATTAATCCCTGAATTCATGTGTCAGTCATCCATAATAAACACACTGCATATCTGTGCACGTTTCTCTATCTAAAGTCAGGTTTGACCGGTTTGCTCTGACACATATTAGCTGTCTCACACAGACATGTAGAGAATCACCTTATTCCTGTCATGCTTCACTAACAGGTGAATGTCTGTTTATTTTCAGAGTTAATAAAGAATCTTGTTCCTCTCTGTCGGGATTATGGAAAGGTTTTAAGACTAATTTGAATAGTTTACATGTCTGTAAAATGCAGTTATTGGTCTTCACTGCAGTGTGGGTGAGGATTGCTTTAGCCGTTTGAAATCAGTCTTTGGTTTCTTTCTGTATGATGATGATGTGGCAAACGTATTTATTTTTTCTTCCCCTTATCATGTGGATTAAAATAGATTAAAAAAAATAACAGTTTTCCTAAAATGTATATGCAAAATTCTTTTTATGGCAAATGTTTTTCAATGTTTCGAAAAGACTGAGACACACGCTGATGCCTGCAGACTGATCCTGGAGGACATCCGTCAAAGACACAGTCTTCTGGATACTCCCCTGGGCTGAAGGATGCTTTGATCGAGGGACTACAGCTGGTGATGGAGCCAGAAGGCAGATTTTTCTTCGGCCGAGTCCCATTTTAATACTTTGCTATGGAGCATTTTAGTAATTTGCACCTCATCTTGTTGTAGTGTTGCATTAGAGATCCAGTAGCATAGTTTTTATCGCTGTGATATATTAAAGTTCAAAGAAGTGTGCATCACATGCTTTCAGTGTTGAGTCGAAATTCATGTTTGTAACTGTCCAACAATAAGAAAACAACATGGTTAGAGACGTCAAAAGTGCCTCGAACCAAAGACCTCTTTTCCTTCCATCTCCAGCTACACTTGAAAGTAATTTGTGCACCTGTGTGGTTGTTAGAAAGGCTTGTTTTCTACCAGCACCGCCGCATTCTTATTAAATGTCCTCAACTACATCTGTGATCGTTTTCACGTGCGCTCACAGAGAATGGAACAAAAGGCACCAACATCCAAAGAGGAGCAGAAGCAATGACAGGATCTGCTGTCTGTGAAGCCTTTTTAAATCTAAAGTCACATCAGTTTATCCCACCATGGGAAATAACCCCAGAAGGCCCTTTAAACAACCCGAGGTGCACCTAAAAGCACCGTGAATCGTAAATAACCATATAGGTGCGCAAAAATATTTCCAGGGTAGCCGGCGTGAACTTGGTGATTCGAAAGCGGTAAGTGGGGCTAACCGGAGGCGCTTTCACCACGCCACAAACGAAAAAACAAGTCAGATTATCAAACCGGAAATAGCCGGCGTGTTTATGGTTTATGCTTTTATAGGAGCCGGTGTACGTGGAGAAGACACGGCCATGTGCTAAGCGGTCTTATGTGGAAACAAGGTGAACGTCGTTCTGTGTAGCGCGACCAGTTTACACCTGAGAGACGAGCCTCCTGGGCGGTTGCTATGGTGATGGAGTCAGATAAACAGACTCCAGCTGTAAACCAGTGTCACCGCCCGCACGATCTGATATCGTCGTGTTGGTGTTGTTGCAGGATCAACACTGCAAGTGACCAATCAGAATGTTGTGACGTAATGCCCTGGCGACTTCTGGAAAAACCGCCGTAAAACAAAAAACTGTACTTAAGCTGCGAGAAACCGCCTCTGTCCGCCGATCAACCGGACCCTAACCCTTTAATAAACGCTAAGCAGAATTGATATTGTCCTTGCAACATTGGAATTTCATAAATGCACGAATGGCTTGGCGCACCAAAGAATAACGTCACAACAATGTGATTGGTCACTTGCAATGTTGATCCTGCAACAACATTTACTATGTTGTTCCAGGAACAACACCAGCACGACGATATCAGATCACCAGTGTAGATATCGATACAGGAGTCGTGTCCCACAAATCCCGCTCACCCCCCCAGGAAGTGATTAAAACACGCAGTGTTTAAAAAACTTTTCAACAAGTCAAACACAGTTTCAGGCTCACTCTGATCTGTTTCACCCACCCTTCACCGAGTCACGCAGGCTTTAAAGACGGAGTAAAACACTGTGATAAGAAGCGCAGGAGAAAGCTGAAGTAACACTCACCCCGCTCAGGCTCGACGTTCCTGCTTCCTGCGCCCTCACACTGCCCCATCAGCGGCTGCTTTCTCCTCCCCCTCCGTTTACAGGAAATCAGCTGGATTTCGGCAGGCGTGAGATACGGGAACTTTAAAAACTTCTGCACAAGAAACATTCCCCCCAAGACTGAAGATATTTATTAAAGAAATGTAAATCCTGCAAACAAACTTCAACACGGGATTCAAAGCTCCTGTCACGCAGGTTTTTACTGGTTTTACTTCAACCTAAAGCATCAGTGGTGAACCAGCGTGAAACATCACAAACACAGAGTCGCGATGATAATGATAGTACAGACGAACATCAGCAGGCTGTATGTTTAAAGTTACTTTAAAGGTGTGTATGACATTAAATGCGTGGAAAGGATCCACACACAGTGTTTTATCTCACCCATCCTTCGTGTCCAAACCTGACAGGTACATTTCCCCATCTTTACTTTGAGTTTCTATTTCAAGTCATGTCCTGTCTTATTTTGTAATCCTCTGTACTTTCCACATTTTCACTTCCTCTTATCTCTAACTTTGTCTCATTTTCATCACCGTCATGTCGTTCTCGCGTGTCGTGTAGGCTTGGCAGTGGTCAGATCATCTGTGAAGGTAAACATGTTTAAAATGTGAGCGAGTTGTGATGAGAGAGCTTTTATTACAGTCGAACCTTTCTTAGTTTATAGTCCTCTTCACTTCCTGAGTGACCTGACCCACAGAAACAGGCCAGTTTCACAGCATGAGCTGGTGTGCGCCTGGAAAGATGATTTCTGGGGCTTTTCCTCGCCCGGGTTGTTTGTCTCACAGACTCTCTGTCAAAGTATGCACTGGCAGCCTTACATAAACCTTCTGGGTGTCTCTTGTGTCC